TTCCAGCATGCATGGGCATTTTGAAGGTTATTCTTTATCTAATTGACATAGAGATTGACCAACTATTCTTTATTGAGTTCAGCCAGTCCCATTTTATGTTTCTTATCATTTTATTCTTCTTTTTTAATATGAAGTGAAAAAAAAAACCAAAAGACTTTGTCAATCGACAAACTTGGTCTACTCCTTGAAAACAAAATCTTAGGCCCTAAAGTTGGTAAAGGAAAAGAAGAAGTTGAAAGAAAAGAAGTGGCTGAAGAGGATCGGGGTATCGGTGTGGGGCTCACGCAGGACAAAGGAACTTTGGGCTAATCTCCGTAAAAGTTTCTAGTCTAGGTTTAATTAAGAAAAAAAAGGGGTTTATGACATGAGCTGAGTTTTGGGAATTAGTTAAATAGGAGCTATTATATATTATTTAGGAAACAAGATCTACTAAGGATTCTCTAATTAGGAACCTAGATGTTTCTTTGCCAATTTATCCCGTAATCCCTTTATTCGAAATAACTTTTTGACAAAGCTCTTTTGGTTTTTGTTTCGAGTGCAATTTTGAAAAGTTGAATACTAACGATAATACTGACAATAGGTTATAGAGGGCATTTGGGTTTTCTCTAAAGAGTCCTAAACCCTAAAGTTTCATATATTTTAACCCATAATCTGTTCCTTAATTCTGGAACCGTGTCAAATTGGTGTCTTTCAATGTAAAACAATATCATGGCACCTTGTGACGTCGACAAACTCACACAAAAGCTGACTCAGAACACTTTAGGCCAACAATATCGTGGCACCCTGAAAAGAGAGCAGGTCAGATGTAAGCCACGCACCTGGAACTGGCAGTGTGTGAAGTATTGATGATGGCAATTGGACAACTGACAGAGAGGTCTGTATAGGTCGATGATACCAGACCTAGGGTGGACGTATCTGGAAAAAGAAGGTCATATGGTGATTGATATCATGTTTTAGAAGATATTATAACTTTCTAATGTGTTAAGAAGATATGTATAGGTAAAGGTACTAAGAGGGATTCCTATGTTGAGAGAAGGAAAATTATGATAGGAAAATCATCTCATATTAGAAATACTGCGCTGGGAAATAACTACTTAGAAACATATTATACATTTTGACATATGTTATGGGAGCATCTTCATGTGACTTGTGATTTGCTTGATGATGTTAGATCATTTGATGTTAATTTTCCTTCCTAGCTTTTCATCCTTTTTTTATAAATGATAATATATATATATATATAACTTGCACTTGTTCTTTTGTTGCTTGAAGAATGTATTCTTTTGTTTATTTTGAATATTCATTATTCGTCATATTTTCTAGGTCATGCTTGTCCATGCAAACTATTGACATGAATTTTCAAATGTTTGTGTGAGCTCCATGTGCATCCAAATACCTATTTCATGGTGGGAACTTATATAGCGGTATGGCTTCTAATAGAAGCTTTTCTGCAGTTGATGAAAGTCTGCATTTAGAGTATCTCTACTGATAAGCATACAAGAGACCAGCTCCATCATTGGCTCCAAAAATCCCAAATAAATAAATGCTTCTGGTATTAAGTATTGACCTTTTCTTTTGATGATCAGTTTGCCCATTGGATTGTTGGCCCCAAAAGCCGAAACGAAGATGTCTCTAGGGTTTTCACCCGATATTCTTGGTAGCACATGTTTATTATTGTTAAATAACCAATTGTGAACTGATTATTTTAATTTTTTTAGATGGATTATTCCAAAAGTTTAACAGTTAGAAATGAACTAAGTAAAGTGTAGACATTTAGAAAGCTGGAAAGGGACTTATTTTCAATAGTGGTTAGGGTTACTCTTATTCAGGCTTTCTTGTCCAGTATCTTGGTTTATTACATGTCTTTGTTTAAGGTTCTGGCTAGTGTGATCGAGCGCTTAGAGGATGTGATGAGAAACTTTGTATGGGCAGTGAATGGTGAGAAAAAGTGAGATCATTTAGTGAAATGGGAGATAGGTTATAGATCTAGATCTCTTGGAAGGTTGGCTATCAGGAACCTTAAATCGAAGAAGTTGTCATCATTGGTTAAGTGGCTATAGCTCTTCCTACAGGAACCTAACTCCTTGTGGCATGGAGTAATGAAAAGTGTTCACAGGAGTCAGTGGAATGGTTAAGATGTAGTAGCTGCAAGATCCATCCAACACAAAAGTTCATGGAAAACTGTTTCCAGTTTGCTAAACCTCTATATGTCCCTAACTAGATATAACATGGGGATGGTTCCAAGGTCCTTTCTAGGAGGACTTTAGAAGGGCAATCAACCTTTGGGTAACCAATTTCCACATTCTTTCACATATCATCCCATCACAAAATCCAATTGACCATTTCTTTTGCCAACCTAATGGTTCTTTTACTTGGGATTTCTGCTTTTTTCTGTAGCTTGAACGACAGAGAAACTGATGAGCTCCTCACCACGTTAAGTTATTATAATCTTTTCAGCCCTCTAAACAGCCTGATTGCAAGGTATGGCCCTTAGAATCATTGGGTATAATATTTGTAAATCATTTTCTGATCACATAACTGAACAACTTGAATGTTACTATAGGACATTTACCAAGAGTTTCTGTTAAGTCAAGGTTCTTTCAGAGATGAAGGTGTTCGTATGGACATTAATTCTGAGTCAGTTAAACACCAATGAGCTGTTGCAAATTTGTAGACCTAACTAAGCCTTGTGTCCTGACATGTTTGTAATGTGTCATAAGAATGGGAGACTCACAATCATCGTTTTTTGCAATGTGAGGCGGCAAGGAAGTTATGGATCAAGTTATTTGACACATTTAACCTATCATGAATTACTCCTCTTTTGGGAGGCTTCATGAACACTAGTATATTTCCGGGTTAGGGAGAAGGCAAGGCCACTTCATTGTTTGTAGGTCTTTGGATATTTGGTTGGAAAGAAATCGACGAATATTTGATAATCACTCTTTCCCGGACACGATTCTTTGGGAAATGATGATTATTCTTGCTTCTTTTTGGGCCTAGGCTCATGAGAAGTACTCTGACACTTCCCTTACCATAGGAATTGGGATGCAATAGTCACGTGATCAATTGTCATTTCTATGTTATCTACTTTTTAATTCTTGTTTTGTTCTTTTTTCTTTTTTCTTTTCCTTTAGCTGGATATCTTATCTATTGTTTTCTTTATAATGTTGTCTTCTGCTTCTCAATGATAATTCTCTTTTTATTAGAAAAAAAAATGAAAGAAATGACCTAATCTATTGTCTATTATTTATGTTATATTCTTAATACATCCCCTCAGGTGCTTACGAAATTTTGAACTTAGTGCATGTACTTGAATGAAACCCAAGCAATAGTAAGACCAAGTTATGTCGGAAGACACGAAGGCAGATGGGAAGCCAAAGAACAGAAAGGCGAACTAATGGACAACATAATAATAGGAGAGTGTGAAATTTCAAGGTTTAAACTCAAAACCTCTGGCTTTGGTGCCGTGTGAAATAATACAGTTGATTCAATTATCCTAAAAGCTGAAGCTGATAGAAAATGACTCAATATATTATTTATATTAATATGTTCTTAGTGTTTATCACCAAAATCATCTAGGGTCAATGGTTTTATCCGTCTGGATGATTGCTTAGGGTTTTTCTCGATAGAAAAAGAAGTATTATTAGGAATAAGGAAAGAATACATATATAGAGAATAAGACATCCTCCTCAAAGAATGTAAATAGGAAAAACAGTTGCAGAAATATCAAAACTGCCAATGGAGAATAAATGACTGCCTCCCAACTCCAGTGGAGCTTAGATGTTGCTAAATCAGAATAGTTCTCGTGTATTTCAAAAAAGGAAAAAAAGAATAATTCGCGTGAGCTTTGGCTCATAAGGTGGCCAAGAACGTTGCCCTCTCCTATAGCTCATGGAGTGAGGAGTATCGGTTGTGAAATGTTCTGCAGTTTCTCTCAATCCATATGCACCATAAACCAACAAAAATAGTTCGCCATAGTGATTTTGTCACCTTCCTAACCCCTTCACCACAAAACTCAATCTCATAAAGCTCTCTACTGTATGAGGAGCCACCCAGCTTAAACCAAACCAGTTAATTAGGCTCGTCCATAACTTCCATGACGTCTCACACTGTCTCACAATGGATGAATAGGTGGGAGTTGTCTCCCCTCTCTTATAACACATCACACAGATATCTGGAGAGAAAACTCTATTAGATTGAAGGACTTTTAGCACCTCATTAGTATTAAATCTTTGATAAATGATCATCCCTGGAAACACCCTTACCTTTGACAGAACTTAACTTTTGCAAAAGTCCTGGGCAACAATATAATGGTCAGATGATGGATTATTAGTGAGGTAGACAAAGAAAGACTTACAAGTATATTGACCGGTAGATTCCAATGATCAAACTCTGTGATCAGGCTGAGAATTAAGATGAACAGGCTCCAACAAGTTTAGGAGGTTAAGCAGATCAGGAGTCTCCCTACCGGATAGGTTATGATGAAAATGAAAGTTTCAAGCTATACTTTCCTCTGACTGGATATAAAGCATGAGACATGATTGTTTCTGTCTATATGATAGGTCATACAGCCATGCGACTTGACTAGTTAGGTTATTAAGAACAGAGGGTGGAAGTTCTAGAGAAAAGAAATAAGTTATCTCCTGACTCTTCTTACTATCATTCGGGTTGTATAAGAAAAAAAAGAAAAAGAAAAGCTTTGACTATCATATTCTATGAATATATGGTCATACTCCAGGACCACTAATATTTTATATATGTTATCAATATTTCTCTCATTAAGATATTGATATTTCTTTTCAATTTTGTAATAATTTTCTAACCGCATATAGCTCCTTCTATGTACAAGTTCTTTTATATATATGTGTAGAGACTTATTGGAATAATTCTAACCGCATATAGCTCCTTCTATGTACAAGTTCTTTTATATATTTGTGTAGAGACTTATTGGAATAACATAATAGAAACCCTTCTGCTTTCTCCTCCTCTTTAATTTCATCGAAAAGGAATTGAAGGGCTTCTGAAGAGGTGAGCAACCCATTTTTACAGGATTAAGATGTGTTACAATCTCTGTGCATGGATTAATGGTTGCTCTCGCAATGCTGATTTAGATCTAGGACATCTTATAGACTTTTTGTTGTGTAACTAATGTAAATCTGTAAATTTTGTAAATGGGTGGCCGTTCCCTTTTGGTTCCTCATTGTATAACTAACATGAAGCAAGACATTTTTTACATGGGTGGTATCCCTTAAATGCCTTGATTTTTCACATTGTTGGTATCCCTTAAATGCCTTGTGAATAGCAATTTCACTCTTCCTATATATCTAAAAAAATAATTGCGTTTAGAAAGGGGGAAAAGAGGGTGATTGGCTTTCATTGTAACCTAATTAATGTGATTTTTTTCCTCCTTTTATTTTTAACACTTAATAGTTGTCTCATCACTTTGCTGCTGTTGAAAAACTTGAAATTCTAGGGAGGATATAGAGGCTTCTATTCAAGAAATACCATGAATTTGACCCCTAAAGTCGTGAATGATATCCATAAACGTGGTGGCACATTTCTTTGTACTTCTCGAGGAGGACATGACACCAAGAAGATAGTTGATAACATTCAAGATAGGGGAATAAATCAGGTATGTATTTCTAGATGCTTTAGTCGCATTCAAAAAAAGAAAAGGCTATTTAGTTGCAAATAGTTTCTGAGATCTGAGAAGATATCTGACGTGAGAAAAGGAAAAGAAAAAGCGTGTGGAAGCAAAAGATTGAACAAAAAGTTGACTATTTTAAACAAGTAATCACGAAAAAAATTATTGATTTCTTTGTGGGTATTAGGTCTATATTATTGGAGGTGATGGTACACAAAAAGGAGCTGCTTTGATTTACAAGGTGACTTTATTTTTGGCACTTTAGCACTATGCAGTGACTTCCCATGATGTTGTTTTGGCACATGTGCCTCTTAACTTTGAGGGTTTCTTATGGGCCTCTTTTATGAAGGAAGTTGAAAAACGTGGACTTCAAGTTGCAGTTGCTGGCATCCCTAAGACAATTGATAATGATCTTGCTGTAAGTTTCTATCTACCACAGTTTTAAGTTAGCTCTTCTTTCTAGTTCAAACGCACTTGAGATGCTGAATTTATATGTGGGCAACACAGAAATGAACTTTATGTAAATTTTTTAATTTCATATATATATCTATGGTTTTAGGTGATAGATAAATCTTTTGGTTTTGATACTGCTGTTGAAGAAGCTCAGAGAGCTATTAATGCTGCGCATGTGGAAGTTGAAAGTGTTGAAAATGGAGTTGGAATTGTCAAACTTATGGGCAGATACAGTGGTAAAATTTGAATTATATTGTTTGATGCTGGACATTATGTTTGTCTAAACGTATATATTTATACATTTTTTATCTTGCTGCTATAGTTTGCCATTTGAATCTGCAGGTTTTATTGCGATGTATGCAACCTTAGCAAGCCGGGATGTGGTAAGAGCTTATTCTAATATTTTAATGGAAAACCACCTACTTACGATCTTAAAGATTCGTTGATAAAATTCTGGTTTACGAAACAATTTTATCCAAAAGTAAGTCTGGAGCACATG